TTTATTAATAGAATTCAATCAGCAAATAGACCTACAAAACCTTTCAAAGATATATCAATGTAAATTTAACCTTCGAACTGGGGGTGGTTGGTTTAAGGAGATGAATTTCAACCAGTGGGTCACAGATTCCAGCCTCACTACACTTAGCAAGGCTTGGCCAACTAAGTAGTATCACTAACCTTCACACAATAGATTTGAATGTTTACCTACCTTATGAATGTGCACAAGATGGCTGAATGCATTTCAGTTCCATTCACAAATCATACTCCCTATAAAATACTAATGTATGTTTCAAGGTCGAACTATCCAAGATTTTATTAGCATAAAAACTGTAATGAACATTTTGTGTAGGCGCCGAAATACATTGAAGTTTAAAATAGATGAAATATCAATTAAATAAGTTGGTGGGCTGTTAAGTAATTTCTGAAAACTAAACGTTTTTACTAAGTAGTATACATTCATGAATAGTTTACTGCTTTTTCTCTCTTCTGTTGTGTAGATCTACACACTCGGATTACTTATCCAATGTTTCTTCTACATTCCATGACAGAATAATGATTACTGTACTACACGTTTTACTTATGTCTTAGTGTTAGTACTTACAAGTTGAATGAATTTTCAAGCGGTGTCATACTGACACATATATTGTATTCGGTAAGTTTAACCATATGCTAGAATGAGGCTGTTGAACAATTTCAACATCATAATAACATAGCAGTAATGATAGGTATTGGCTAGTAGAGAAATCCAGGACTCACGTTTGGTCCTATCTATCTATCTATCTATTATTATTATTATTATTTGTCCCTTGGGTTCCTAGTGGAATATACGGCTTCAGAAGCACGTCTACATTCCACTCTCTTCTCTATAATCGTTTGAACCTGGCTCCATCACCACACACAACATTTCATTTCTTATTCAAAACGATCTCTTTCATGTCACCCTCATCTCGGATGCCCAACTCGTCGTTTCCCATTTGACTTACACTCGAGGGCCTGGAGTGACGCATGATGTCTCCGAATACGTTTTTCAGTGTATGTCCAATCCAGTCCAATCCATCCCTACTCTCCTCTTGTGTACATTTGTTGGGCGATTAGTCCCTGGCTGGTTAGTTGCCAGCTAGACAGAGTTCTTTGTTATTTATTCTTTCTGACCATCTGATCTGATCTGATCTTGAGTATCGAATGAGTGAGCGTTGGTGGCAATTGTTGATGAATGTTTGTAGTTTGCTGTAGATGATTTTCGCGACAAGCAAAGTTGCTGAACTATATAGAAGCACTGACCTGACTGATATTAGTATTGAAAATCCGAATGTTGTTCAGGCTTTATGCTGAGTGGAGTGGAGTGGAGTTGAGTGTAGTAGATCTCCACACTAGTTTCAGATTAGTGAAAGCCTGTCTTGCTGTCTTTCCGATGGTGGTTTTGCCGTCCTCATCTGTGCAACCTACGCTTGAAACGATGCTGTCTTGCCTGGGTAGGTGAAATAAATAGACTACTTCTTTTGGGTTTCTCCCCTTGATGGTGATTGGTGCCTCTTGTTGTTGATGCTGTTGTTGTTGTTGGTTGGGTATGTTCATCACCTCCGTCTTCTCTACGTTCACCTGAAGGAAGTCCTGTCTCCCTTCAGTGCTTCTTCTGTCAGCTTGTTGGTTTTCGCCTGTAGATCTGAGAGTTTGTGCGACATTATACACAACTCATCATCGGTGAAATCCAAATCTTCTGAGCTCTTCCCATCGGTCAAATAGCGTATGTCCCTCTATTCTCGTCCCTTACGTTTCGCTGCGTGATCCAGTCGAGTCGATTCGACCACAGTCAGGAAGATCATCGGTGATGATATTAGGTGGCAGTCTTGTCCTACTCCTGTCATCGCTTCATTTCGAAGGTATTAGTGAGGTTTCCATTTTTAACCACTTCGCGTGTGACGTCTTCATATAGTTGTAGAATGAGGTTGATAGAGATTAGTGGTACTCCTTAGTGTTGAAGCAGCTGCCAAATAGCTTCTCGGTCGACAGTGTCGAAGGCCTTTTGAAAGTCGATTATTTTGAGGTAGAGAGTTGGGCGGATTCAGTTTCTTCCCAGTGAGTGATGTTGTTCTCACTATTAACCAAACTGGAGTGGAGTCATTTGGAACTCGAAACCGTTATCTTATAGGGGAGAATACTCATTACATGGACGACGAGTGTTGTTTTAATGCATATCTTAAAGCAGTATATCTTTGTACACATGACTCCGCTTACAACTTAGATTTCATTACCTTGGTCATATACGTCATAAGCATTGTTGTGATTTTCGGCATTCTTATTCAGCTGGTCCTCATAAAAGTTACCATGACATAGGTCTGTACCAGTTGGATCTAAAAAGTTAGATTATTTATTTATGCATAGGATACAATAGCAAAGAGTTTTACTTCAAAATGGAAATTTAATACAATACTATTACTGATCGTTTAATAATCTACCATATCGAAGTGGAACATCGTTGCTAGCTAAAGGTAAACATACCGATTGTTTGGAGGCAATCTTAAGGAAGTCTTACTTCCCTTAAGCTTTATGCTAGTTGGTTCATGTGAGTAAAGCATATCTGTAAACTCGATAAGACTGTTGTCCTCAGTGAGATTCAAGCCCATGTCATTCAGTTCTACAGTCAAAGACATCACCACTGAGCTATTCGAGGTACGACTGACCTCCTACAGGACTTGACCAAACTCATTGTTTGGTCACTGTAAAATGATCACTCAGAAAAAGTAGACACCTAAGACAGCATTGGTGGATAAAAGTGTTCTAGACAATACATACAGTCTTAGTAGGTAATTACATCATGCACAATACCTAACTCTATATATTCCTCTCGACTGGCTCAAGGCTTTTAATAAGGGGGTGATTGACGTAGTTAGGGTTAAATTTAACTTATCAAATAAATACTTCACTACTGAGTTGACCTGTGGTAATTATTGCACTTAGTACTGTGAATTGCCAAGTGGTAATATCTAGCAAATGTAAGCCACATAAATAACCGTTCTTCATGATCTGGAGTGTTTAATAGCAGATATACAATGTCCTGTGTTTCACGAAGGGTTCTCGGACAACCGTGATCTCATTGTTTACCGATCACTATCATTATTATCTACTGATGACGTTTATTTGGATATTTGACTCTATACATTATTAGATAGGTGGCTCTAGATCCCTTACAAACACAACTCCTTGACAGTTCTCCATACCACAGTGTCTTTCACATAATCATGAACTTACAAAAAATTATTACCTAACTATGTACTGGATCATTTAGTATAACATTAGTGCTATAAAAGTAAGCTTAGCAATATATACATATTCAAGGGTTTTTCTCACCAATCGACGTCAGTCGGAGAACCATTTGAAACCTGACATCAGTGGATAGCTGATTTATTCTAGTTTGGGAATTTTTAACTGTGCACAATCATGTCCCCTTGAGAGTTTACACACCTGCAACCGCCAAGTCTCATGGACCACACATTATCATTCAGTCAATGGGTCACAGTCCAGTTTGTCTGTTAAGGATGACGAGTAGTGCACAGCAGCCCACTCTGTTCTACTCAATAACTGTGAAACATGGCCACTGAAGATCAAACACATGAGAAGGCTTCAAGTGTTTGACCACCGTTGCCTTCGTAATATAGGCAGTATTCCATGATGTCACCACCTGAGTAACGCAGAAGTCAGGTGTAGAGTTTCAGGGAGAAGAGGTAAATCAGTTGACGAGGTTGTGAACCTTCATTAACTGAGATGACTGGGGCATGTGTTATATATGCCTAGTTGCCGATTGCCTCGTCATACAATGTTGACCAAAGTAGGTCAGGACTGGAAAAATGGTCGAGGTGGCCACACTGAAACATGGCATTAATGTGTAAAGTGTTTGACTGTTAATTTGAGCCATATGAGGCGATGCAGACTAGTCGGTTGGAGTCCGTGGGACATGAGGAACCAGTTGTTTGGAGACTCTAGATGATGGTATGGCTGAGAACCGATGTCAGTGGTGTAGATGTATGCATACATTATCCACATTTTAACGATGCTATGCCGAATCTCACCATTTTCTCATTCTTCCTTTTTCTCTTTTCGTACTTCATATTTCTTCTGACTGAATTTTCTTATTTTGATCTTCCAGTTCACTGCGTTTTTATTTGGTATACTGATCTGGGGTGTGGCAACTCGGACCGTTACGCAGTAATACGTGGTCTTATGTTTGTTTTGGATGAATGGAGTCCAGTTTATAATGTAGCGCCATCATCTTCCAGTAATTTTGGCTTGTGTTTTTCTGCATAACCGAACTGGTTTTCTCTATGACTCACAGTTTCCAACTTAAGCTTCAAATAGTCTATCTAAGAGGAAATCACCAGCTCACTATTGATGCCAATCCATAATACTAACTCCTAGAATTCAGTAGATTCTAGCATAAACCTTTAAAATGATATATATGTATAGTTACATAACGGATGTATTAATCAGGTAAGATGGTCTTGTTTATATTGTGTTCTCTGAGCTGGGCTGTTTAATCATGAAGCTTTCATTGTCCTTCTTCTAGACAACATCATCAGCATTAACTTCAGTATGAAGTGAGCTGTCAACCAAGACCAATCCACTTGAGCTAGAAATATTCTCCACTATTTCAAGTAAGATGGTCTATGGGGTCTTATATTTTTCCCTACTAACAATTTAGACTCATATTTATCTCACATCATATCAAATGATTCTACTACTGCTGCTAACCGCTTACTATTAAATAATATTTTCATTACGAGTCATCTGATTCACTCTAATTTGAAGTTAACCTCAACTTGATACTAATGAATTAGTTAAGTTGTTAATTAAAACATTAAATACTCTCTTAAATACACTATAAAGATAATAAATAGTGTATGAAATAAGTTTTATCTGTTAAATATTGTGTAGCATTAATAAATATGATTTATATATTCATATATAAGTGAAATAAGTAGAAATGAATTTGTTTGAACTCACTAACACGCGATTTGCATGTGAGCTCTTTAGTTGTATATAGACAATTATATTCAGTACCCATATCACCTTCCATTCTGATTGGATCCCGATATGGAAATGCTGTTTTAATGAATATTTAGGATATATGTATATATGTGTGTTACAGGTTGAAATCAGTAGTATATTTTGTTTAATTTTATGATAATCAATTAGAAAACTGTTAGATTGTTTATTTGTAATACAAAAGTACATGTGGACATTTATCGATGACTTGTGTCTAATGTCACACAAACTTGAAGATCTACAGGGGAAAACTAACAAGTTGACAGAAGAGGTGAGGCAGAGAAGATGGGACTTCAAGCCAACTTAGAGAAGACAGAAGTGATGAAGATACCCAACCATCAACACCACCAACAGCAACAACAAACTCCAATCACCATCAACGGTAGAAACTTAAAAGAAGTGGCCTCATTCATCTATCTAGGCAGCACTGTTTCAACTACAGACAGCACAGGTGCAGACGAGGATGTCAAAATCAGGATCGGAAAGACAGCAAGACAGGCGTTCATTAACCTGAAACCAGTGTGGAGATCTTCTGCACTCAGCACAAAGTGTGAACAAGATCCGGATTTTCAACACCAATTCAGTCAAATCAGTGCTTCTGTGTGGCTCAGAGACTTGGTGTGTTACGAAAGGGATTTCCAACAAACTACAGACATTCATCAACAACTGTCTACGATCACTTGATAGTGAAGATCAGATAGCCAGAATAATGAGAATAAGCAACAAGGAACTCTGGCCTGATAACTAACCAACCGTGAAGCTATTACTGAACAAATATGCAGTGGAAGGAAGTGGAGATGGATTTGATTGGGAATACACTTAGAAGACCATTCGGGGACATCACGTGTCAGGCCAGGCATTCAGGTGGAACCTCGATGGGAACCGACGAGTTGGGAGTCTGGGATGAGGGTGACATGTAGGAGATGGTGCGAGGAGGAAATGAGAGCTTGTTGGTTTTCGTGGAGCCAGGTTCAAAATATTCCAGAGAACAGAGCTCATTGAAGACGTGCTACTGAAGCTGTATTTTCCACTAGGAACCCAAGAGACAAGTAATAATAATATAAAATTATAAGTGTCTCTGTTTGACTCAATGGACTTTGAAATCATATATGATGTAATCTAGATTAGCTGTTTCCTGACTTCAAAAGAAATTAGTTTCCCTGAAAATTATTGGTTAATGAATCTTCAGTAAGCATAGGAATATAAAAGTTATATGGGTTCCATGCAGCTTGGTGAGATTTTGACAAAAAGTTTGGTACATAGTAAGAGCTTATGGTTTAATTAGTATGGTTATCAGGATGATTTATGTCTACAATTTTAAGGTGAGAGATAAATTAACTGAAGTTTAACAATTCTACTTTAATCATTTGACTATCAGAGATAACCATAGTTTGGCAGACTGGTATTTAAACTGGGCGATGAAATGAAAATTTGAACTGCGGCCGGATTCGAGCCAGCGATTAGGGACTTTACGTTTTCTAATTATCATTGAGCCTATTTATTGATAAATTTGTAATTCTCCGTTGTTTTACTGAATCGAATCGTTTGACCTCTGTTGGCATATTGGCTCCTACGTAGATGTTTCGATATTGTCTGGATGTTATTTATAGTAATTTGGTTGGTTGTGGCTAGTAGAGGAAACCAGGACGCGTGTTTGATCTTATTTGGGATGTACTTTGGATGTACTTTCTCCACATTGAGTGGTTTTGTTCCCATAGAGACTCCAACGCCATACCCATCGCTTCAAGCGTCAAGGCGTTATCCGCTAGGCCACTGAGGCGCAATTAACATTCAGCTAACATCGAGGAGTCCACTTAAGAGCTCATATGCCATTAGAGTTCCACAATTTGATCCAATAAAAGAGAGGAGGATTACAAGCACATCAATAAGTAGTAATAACTAACACTCGCTGTGTAAGTGGTGGCTTTTGTGCCTCATTGACCTAGTGGATAACACGTTGGCGTTTGAAGCGATGCGTCCGATGTTCGAGTCTCAGTAAGGACAACACCACTTACTGGTGTGAAGGTACCTCCAGTTGATTAGTCCTAATTAGGGACGAGACGGGCTTCCTGGATTCATTCTTCTGGCCTCAACCAAATAAATTACTATCACTGATCCCGTCTAAGACAGCCATTACCTGACAGACAAGTGATTTCGGACCGACTGTTTTGGTTCTAATCAGCCTAAAGCATGGACAGTACAATGTCCATTTAGGGTCAAATTGAATTGACGTATTTGCTGGATATATAGAAATATGGTTTACTATTCTTGAAGACTGTAACAAGTCATCACTTTCAACTGAAGACAAGGAATGATTCAAGAGTTTTGATGAATGCTAACTGTGCAATCTAACTAAAATTCGATTGTGATAGTTAACTGCTATTACACAGCTGTTTCATTTATGTCTCTCATTGGTCTTCCATGTAAGGCAGTGTTGCCTTATACACGACATGGATTGTACGTTATTCTGATACTTCATTTCATGAAGTACTAACCAGCGATTTCAAGTAGTACAGCTAGGAGAACTGTATTGCTGAATGTTTCCCATGAAGAATTTCAGGAAAGTAAATAATTCTCGATTTTGGTGTGTTTTGCTTTGTGGTGGTTGTTAGTGGAATCCAGGACGTGTGTATCTTCCTACTTAGGACTTTTCGGCCAAATTACCTGTATTCCAGTAATTAATATTGTTCTCGCTTCAAATGCCAGAGTGTTATCCAGTAGGTTAGTGAATCACGTTAGCCACTGCTTGATCGAAGAACATATACTTCAAAATCAAGGCTTTTATTTTCTCCTTGTTGAAAGTACCAAATTGCTTCTTTTTGTTTGTTTAAATACTTAGTGAATAACAACACACAATTATTTTAAAGGTATGTTCAATAGGATAACTTAGGTACGAATCTGTCAGGAGAAATAAGTTCCCTGGAGGTTACAGATACGCCTTACCGACGAGTGCTAATAAGCTCAAAATCTATGGGCAGGACTTCCTGTTGACTGCCTCTAACCGTCTAACATAAAGTCTATTCCAGTCTAATACCGAAAAGTGCCAGCGATTATCAATTAACTTTTTCTACTCCTTGTTTCTTTCGTTTTATCTAAGTAACACTGAATTCTCAAGAATTAGAGTTGGAAAGTTAAACATTGAAGTTGACCTTGATGTCTCGAAAGTTTATGTGATCTCTGTAGAGTACACATTCAAAGTTCAATTTCAACAAATACTTTCCTTCAAACTAAGAAGCACCGGGAAAGAGATTGAAAGTATCAAGATTTTCACCTGATGTTCAAACGACATTCTAAAGGTTATTATAAGTAATCATCACACTCAATTAAGACATGTATTTTTATCTTGTGGAAATTCATCACATGTTCATGTTCAACTATTTCTATCCTTAACCAAGGAAATCTTTTCTCGAAGAACATCGGAAAGCTGGATTCTTAGCAAATTTAGATAAGAAAAGCATCCTTGGTAGTTTAACTAACTAAATTAAGTTAAAAATCTTTTCATGATTATTTTATTTAAGCCTTTTATAATCAGTCCGCCTCTTTTCATCAGTAGAGTCATGACTCATTAGTTTCGCTACCCACTTTTAAGCAATAGGTCATGCCTTTGAATCTTGTTCTACCTAATGAAGTCTCGGAAGTCAGACGGTGTTGTTAGCCCTCACTGACTGACTGACTGACAAAATCAACGTAGAACACGTACATATCCTCAAGTTGCCATGCTTCACAGTGGTAGAAAGAACAGGTGGATAGAAGAGGAGTGATCTCAAAGTAGATAAAGTAGTGTAAGAAAATAAACAATCTTAGGATAAAATTTAGTATGAATATTCAAGCTTTAGAGGATGTCAAAGAGTAAACTTCTGCGCTACTGCGATCTATTTTCAGCTGTGTCAGTGAGAGTCCTCATCCACTGATTTCTTTCGTCTCAGAGATCCTAACCAGACAATCAGCATCTTTCAACATGGCTAAAGTCAACAGTCAGAGACTTCAGTGACCGGTAGCAGGTCTTGTTCTGGTCATCCTGAATCTTCTCCCAACTTAATCCAGCTTCCTTTAGCATGAGAAATTAGAGTAGCCAATGGCTCAGGATCTGCAGTACATCGCAGTCGACTGAGGTTCACAACCTCATTGATCGACTTGCCCTTCTTGTCTAATATCCTTCACCTGACCACAACATTGCTCATTGCATGAATTTGTGCAATGTCACAGAGTGTAGTTTAGTTTCTTTTTCGACCTGTTTTATTTATAGTGTTTGTAAGTGATTTACATGTGGTTTTACTTTGTTCTCAATGAACACTGTTTGGCTCTTATGTGATTATGCTGCATATATTGTGCTACAAACATCATCCAGTAAGTATGTTGTACTAATACGTGCTGTATAAGACAAGGAAATTGAGTTAGAATCTATCCTTTACCATTTCAAAAGCAGAATGAAGTATTTCAATCGTCATTCACAAGTCAATAAGTATCTGGGGTTAACTTCTTGAGTAGGAGAAAGCAGAATTTCAAACATGATATGAATAGATATCAGCTGATGTGGTGCTATTCCATAGTTAGATAAAATCTAAGAGCGAGTAAATAAACAAAATTAAATATCACACTTTTCGTACAGAAATTACACTTCTTATACGCTTAATGAGACTTCATCACCATTCTCCTAATTTACAGTAATAAAATAATTTTTTTAAAGGAAGTGATACGATTCTCAGAAGGTCAAATGATTTTGTTTAGACTTCACGAGACAGTTCTGTGATACCGATAGGCGTGACACCTTTTTAGCAGTAAATTAATCCTAGGGGGAGTTGAAATGACCATAAATTACCTTAGATTTGGATATCAATTAACACAGAACTTCCTATCTTTATATTTATGCTCTGACTTGGGTAAATTAGATTTTATTTTCTTCTGTCGTTTCAGTGTTAGAGCACACTGTGCTCTTACCTCATCTGAAATTGTCTTATCTATTAAACTCAACGCTATTTCTATTTTGGGAATGACACATCTTCTGGTTTCAACTCATTAACCGCCACATTGAAGTTAAGACATTTCCTTTGCACTTT